CTTCGGAGGTCTTTAACAGAATATTATTTCGTTGTCTGCTCTAAATCAAAATATGAAGTAATTAAAACACCATAACCAATAAATTTACAAAATATCACAAACATAACTACAAAATATCTTAACAGCTACACGAGACACAAGGCTGCTGCACGTGCTCACTTCCAGGCTTCTGCTCCTTCTCTGTTTATTCAAGTCTCGCAGCACAAATCACATATACACAAATCTCGCGATAACTTCCAACAAAAAATAGTTAGACACAAAACTAATTAAAAAAAAATTTAAGCAACCTACTTGCATACTGTATGCATACTGAATTTTACTCTTGCATGTAAAACTCATGAGCAGTAAATATTGTACTAGTTATCAGTATTGGACAAAGAAAGCAAGCATGTCGAACACGTCAACCCAATCCACTTGCATCTCCCATGGTTTCTGTGATGTATCCAATAGGCCAAGAATTTCTCGGTGCAGCCTCGTCGACAACAAGCACCACATCATCAATGGCAAAGTTCCTGCGAGTCTTGTTCCATTTCCGTCGCTCTTGCAACAAAGGAAGATATTCTTTCACCCACCGTTTCCAGAACAGGTCCACAATGTATTGGGCTTGCCTCCAACGTCTCCGAATGTACTGGACCTCCTTTTGGCTCAAACATGGCGGCAGCACAGGCTTACTTTTTAACTGGAGCAAATGATTTGGAGTAAGAACCTCTAAATCATTGGGATCTTCAGAAGAAGGTGTAATCGGGCGATCATTTAATATAGCCTCCACTTCACAAAACACTGTGTGCAAGCCTTCATCATCTAGTACCTGCTGGTTTGTGATGGAGCACAGCACTCTTTTTATTTCCTGTACCAGGCGCTCCCATACACCACCATGATGGGCTCCATAAGGAGGGTTGAAAGTCCACTTTATGCCATCTTGTGCTAAGCATTTTTGGATTTTGCTTTGTTTTAGCTCCAACACGGCTTGCTTTAACTCACGATTTGAGCTGACAAAGTTGGTTCCGTTGTCCGACCTTATTTCCTTTACTTGACCTCTGCGGCAGATGAATCTCCTGATGGCATTTATGCAGGAATCTGTGTCAAGAGAATGTGCCACCTCCAGGTGAACTGCACGACAGGTTAGACATGTGAAGAGAACTCCATATCTTTTAACAATAGTTCTCCCTCTCTTCACTTCTATCGGTCCAAAGTAATCAACACCAACATAAGTAAATGGTGGAAGATCAGTTGAGAGTCTGTCAATAGGAAGATCTGACATTTTTTGCTCACCTGGCTTTCGTCGTTGTCTTTGACACACCATACAGTCTCTGATTATCTTTCTAGCTGCTGAATTAGCATGAGGGATCCAGTACTGTCGTCGAAGAGTAGAAAGCATGTGATTTCTTCCTCTGTGTCCAACCTTTTCATGGATATGTTGAAGAATGAGCTTTGAAACATGGCTTTCTTTAGGCAATATTACAGGATGTTTTGTTTCTTCAGGTAATGCCGCTTTGCTCAGTCTGCCACCTACTCTCAACACACCATCAGTAACAACAGGATCAAGCTTATACAGATGACTTGACTTCTTCACTGCACCAGAGCTCAGGGCAGCTATTTCATCACCAAAATGTTTTCTTTGCACAAAGCTCACTATGGCTTCCTCAGCCTTTAAGAGATCATCAGTTGTAAGCTGAACATCCATTTTGTTGTCCTGATCATTATACATTTTATTTCCACGGTGTCTGGTTAGCAACTTCTTTGTTTGCATCCTTTCTTTTAGTTTCAGGATCCATGCTACACTTCTTTTTAGCTTTGTCCAACTGGAAAAGTACATTAACAGCTTAGTAGTGGGACACACTTTTTCCAATAAAGCTACGCATGTCAGGATCTGATCTTTAACCTCTGGATCAGGTTCTAAATGGACAGGTCTTTCTTTGATCACTGTTGGCCATTGAATCTCATGTTTTGTGAGAAATTCCGGTCCACTGATCCAGGTGGAAGACTTTAAAAAAGGGCCAATCTTCATGCCTCGAGAGGCTGTGTCAGCTGGATTCAGCTTTGAGCTGATGTATCTCCACTGAGTAACCTTTGTAGGATCACGAATGATGGACACTCTATTAGCTACATATGTTTTAAACCGTGTTGTCGTGCTGGCAATGTACTGCAGTGCTGGACTCAATCTGATTCGCTCAGATTGAGTCCAAGTTGAACTGACAGCATTTTGTCCAGACGCACAGCTAAAACTGCAGCAGCAAGTTCAAGTCGTGGTATGGTGACTTGTTTTAATGGTGCCACCCTTGCTTTGCCAATAACAAAGGAAACACACACTTCCTGTTTGTCATTAGATACCCTAAGATAAGACACAGCACCAAACCCAGTTTCACTGGCATCACAAAAGTGATGCAGCTGTGCACTTTTTATCTCTCCAAATCCTTTGGGTGTGATGCATCTTCTGACACTAAAGTTGTCAAGAAGAACTAAGTCTTCGACCCATTTTTTCCAAATTTGTGCCTTTTCTGGTGGAATTCTCTCATCCCAGCCAAACTTCAGTTTACATAAATGTTGAAGAATCTGTTTAGCAGGGAGAATAACTGGAGCTAAGAAACCCAAAGGGTCGTAAATAGAACTGACAATGGACAAAATACCACGCCTTGTTAGTGGCTTGTGTTCGTTTACAATGCCAAAGGTGAAAACATCCTGTTCAACATCCCATTGCACCCCCAGGGCTCTTTCAGTGGGAAGCTGGTCCCGGCTAAGATCTAGCATCTTTACACCTGTTGCTCTATTTTCCTCCGGGATCTGAGAGAGGACAGAGCGCTCACTACACACCCATTTATTGAGCTTAAATCCCCTGGATTAAACTGGAGCTAAGAAACCCAAAGGGTCGTAAATAGAGCTGACAATGGACAGAATACCACGCCTTGTGTTTGTTTACAATGCTAAAGGTGAAAACATCCTGTTCAACATCCCATTGCACCCCCAGGGCTCTTTCAGTGGGAAGCTGGTCCCGGCTAAGATCTAGCATCTTTACACCTGTTGCTCTATTTTCCTCTGGGATCTGAGAGAGGACAGAGCGCTCACTACACACCCATTTATTGAGCTTAAATCCCCTGGATTAAACTGGAGCTAAGAAACCCAAAGGGTCGTAAATAGAGCTGACAATGGACAGAATACCACGCCTGGCTTGTGTTTGTTTACAATGCTAAAGGTGAAAACATCCTGTTCAACATCCCATTGCACCCCCAGGGCTCT